AAACAAAACACGATTTCCGAGGACTTAATCACTCCAATCGATGACGAAAATTAAATTGAACCGATGTATTTTCATATAAATTACTTATACTTATGTTCAAAATGTACTAATTATTTTTGTATTTTATGAATATTAAAATAAAAAATACTTAAATCAAACCTTTATATTAAATATGTTCATGGTATAAATTATTATTATATTTGTAATTTATTCAACAATTTTAGTAAATCACTGTCCTTTCAAAACATCGCTTCGGTAAAATACGTCGGACAAAATGAATATATGTCAGTGATTTTTCTAAACTATTTATTTTGAAAGTGGCTCAAGTCACTTTACCGTAATGAAAAGTGGTGATTTTTTAATGTTTACACGAAATTATTTATACTGAGAAAAATATCAGTATCCTGAGATAACAAATACAAGTAAATCTTCGCGAAAGTTAGCATCCATATTTTTAAACGTGTTAAAACGCAAACCTTTAAATATCTCGACTTAAAAACAAAGTGACTTATGCCACTTTCAAAATAAACGGCTCAATTGTTCACGCAGTTGCGACAGTAAACCACGTCGCGTTCCAAATGCGTTCTACACTATCGACATAAACTTTAACGAACGGGAAAACGGTAATGACCACAGGTATCTCTTGACGAAAGTGCTGCTCCTGCGCAGATACGCCGAACCGTTTCGAACTTGTTCAAACGCGACACTCGCAGGAAGATCATGTACCAACAACTTTAGACAGAACGTGCAATTTTGAACTGGAATCTCAAAGACAACGAACGTTTCCTGAAGCTGTAGCAGTCATCTTCGTGGCTATATTTCTATCGAAATTCAAGCTACCTTTGAATACCATGGGACGTTTTTTAACTTTTTTTATCTGAGGCTATAACGTAAGTTTAAAAAATGCCTTTTGTAGATCTCGGTAACTTATATGCGTGCTGAAAATTTGATCGAAATCGGTTAACTCATAATCGAACTGCAGGCGTTGAAGGATTTTAAAAATTGCAAATGTTTTTACTGTTTCGATAGAATTTTCATCACATATATAAATTACCGAGATCTAAAAAAGGCATTTTTTAAATTTTCATTATAGGCTCAGATAAAAAAGTTAAAAAATGAAGGTTTTCAATCTTTTCTTTTCATTTCAAGTAATAGCAAAATATAAAAAAAAGCATTTTAGGTATCGTCTAGTAGATTAGTCGCTCTGTCACCTAAAAAAAATCAAGTCATTTAGTTCAGTTTTGAAAAAGTTATTGCATTTTGAAAGGTGTACGAACACTTTTGTGGGCTACTGTACGCAGGGACAAAAATATATTAATTTTCTCATTTATTATACAATTTCATTATACATTATTATGTATATTTTACTACATATACACCTAATAATACAGTTACTTCATATACATACTGATATGCATGTAAAGCATTTCTAATTTTTCCATCCGACGTATTTTCACATTTTTCAAATTTATACCACATCCAAATGCAATTCGAACTTCGGGATGGATAGAAAAAAAAGTTCAACATCCACCATTAAAATCGAGACCAAAGCTTTTCTTTTTTATTCCAATTATGTCTACCACTCACACGACTGTAGACAAACTCAAAAAATAAAAAGGAGTGCGAAACTAAATGGTTCAATTTTTCTAACGAATATACAAATTTTCCGAGCGAGTATTAGTTAGCAGAAGGTGGGTTACTATAACTTCTAATCGTTATTTTTTCAAAACTAATAGGACATTTGAGTAGCTTCCCTTGTTAGCGCTAAACCTAGTGTCGATGACCGGATTTTTATGCAAAATAAGAATTGTCCATATCAATCGTAAGAAATGTCGGTCAGGTGAATATGTCTTTTCTCTTATAATAACTTTAGAAAGTTCTGGTTTCTTCAGAACTGCATAAAAACCGCGGTCTATTAATTTTAGTGTGCATTCACGAATTAGGAAATGAGAAATTTCAACTAATCAATGGAATTTCTACGTCACAATTATCGGTCCATTGACGACGTCGCAGAAAAATCTCTGACGGCAAGTTCTCTGGAAACATTCGAATAGTTTCTCGTGGCCATGCGAAGACCAAACATTCGAGAAGCCCCGTTTCCAGGTGGCAACAATACTTGAGAACTCTCCAGGGGCGTTCGAGGAAAGAATAACTTTTGTTTCTGTTACAGGAGGAGCAGAGAGAGTCTCGGCCGTATTGCCTTCTGCGACCGTTTGTCGAACTTATGGCGTTAAGCATTTATGATACAGGTCGTGTAGCCTCTGACAGAAATATCAACGAGCGCTGTTTACACACTTGGATCTTGTGATCAAATCATTACTCAGCAGAACAATTGCAAATAAGAAAGGTGACGTTCAACGTGATAACACCTACAATTTTTTGCTTGTCCAGTTTGTAATTGTATCGGATAACAACTTTGCTCTAGTCGAGCCCGAAACGGATTACCTTGAAATAAATGTGTTCCAATGCGTGCTAGAGTGACTGGTTGCTATAATAAACGAGATTTTATTAGATCTGCTGGTAGGTTCCGTCTGTTTCCTAATTACCTGCATTTACCACGAGAAGAAGAAGAAGCAATAAATGTTTAGTGGTGTGCATATTAGTTCCGAGGGGTGTCCCAAAAATGTCTCGCAATCCGGAAATAGCGTGTTCCTCGGATCATTTGAAGCAACTTTTTCCCTGTCTCTTATACACATCTAGATGTGTATAAGAGACAGCTTCATATACATACTGATATGCCTGTCTCTTATACACATCTAGATGTGTATAAGAGACAGCTTCATATACATACTGATATGCCTGTCTCTTATACACATCTAGATGTGTATAAGAGACAGCTTCATATACATACTGATATGCCTGTCTCTTATACACATCTAGATGTGTATAAGAGACAGCTTCATATACATACTGATATGCCTGTCTCTTATACACATCTAGATGTGTATAAGAGACAGCTTCATATACATACTGATATGCCTGTCTCTTATACACATCTAGATGTGTATAAGAGACAGCTTCATATACATACTGATATGCCTGTCTCTTATACACATCTAGATGTGTATAAGAGACAGCTTCATATACATACTGATATGCCTGTCTCTTATACACATCTAGATGTGTATAAGAGACAGCTTCATATACATACTGATATGCCTGTCTCTTATACACATCTAGATGTGTATAAGAGACAGGGAAAAAGTTGCTTCAAATGACCCGAGGAACCCGCCACTTTCGGTTTGCGAGACATTTTTGGGACATCCTGTATATATGTACGATGTTAGGTGTCGGAAAAGGCAACGTAGAAAACGTAAAGGTCTATCTCTATGATTAGAAAATAGTAATTTGAACTTGAAATTTGTCATGAATATTTGAAATAATATTATATATTAATATATATAAATATAAATTAATATATATAAATAATATTGTATATTAATATTGTTATTTAATATCCAATATATTGAATTGATAAAGGTGACATGATATTACAGTTTTCCGATA